CCAGGAAGTTTGGAAGAAGGAGAGACGGACGATGATTCTCTGTGGGAAGGGTCTTGGCAAACATTTTGAATATTCGGCTCCTTCCGCTTCCTCTTGGGAGAAGCCAGGGGGCTGGGGGGAGGCTCTTGGCACTGGCGTCCACCTGAGCATCCCTAGGGAAGGACCTGAGCTGCCGCCAGTGCATCCTCCCTGCGCCGGGAAAGCGCAGCGCCAGGTCAACGACCAGCTCACGCATGGGGCCATGGCTGTGCTGGCCGGGACTCCCCGAAGTGGAGCGTGTGCGTGCCGGCCACCAGCCTTGCCGGCTCAGCCTGATTGGTGTGGATGTGCTAATGGCCGCAGCTTCAAGCTCCCGAGGCTTTGAAATGCGCTGCAGATCCAGAGGAGGCGTCCTGTCCTGCTTTGTGGAGAAGGGAGGGCGGGAAGGACCCAGGAGGAGGGAGCGCCCCTCGCCGTCCGGCCAGCGTCCACGTGGCTCGAGCCTTTGTCTGTACTCACAGCTCCTCCCCTCCGGTTCATTCTTCCCACTGTGATGGGCTGAGTCCTCCATCCATCGCGGTGACACCGAGTTCTAACCAGAGCTTCAGTGGCTCAGACGGGCACTGGGCTGGCAGTGTCACGTGGGCTAACGTTGTCTATCCTAAGGGACCCCGTGATGGGGGGAGGGATGTTCTCCCCACTCTAGAGACAAGGAGACTGAGGTGTGGAAAGGTAACTTGCCCGAGGTCACGCAGCTGTTACGCAGCGAAGCCAGGATTCTGGCTTGGGTTCTGGTTTGCGAATCCAGGGTGACGTAACCACGCGATGGCAGACCAGCCTTTCCCTCCCAGATGACACGAGTGCACTCTCCCAGTCTGCCCCGACCGTGACACCTGCAGGCTCCGCAAGTCCACGGCCGGATTGCTAAGCTTCAGAGGGCTGCACCACCCCCGTCCCCACCCTCAGAGGCTGGTCTTGCCTCTTCCGGGGCCAGAGAGTCCATGTGTCAGCCACAGAAGCCGGTGTGGGTCCTCGGGACGGGACCACCCCCGAGGCTCCCGGAAGCACGCACGTTATTTACGTTGGGCACCTTCCGTCTTGGAAAGAGCAGTCTTATATCCTGACCGAACCGGTGCTCGGTCCAGGCGTTCGTTAGCCTTTCCTGCCCACAAAGATGCAGCCAGCACCGGCACCCAGGGGGCCTACAGAGCATTTGGCCCTGCCCCTGGCTCCGCCCCAGGATCCTGCAGGACCCTACATGGGACCAAAGGAGCAGCTGGGTAGCAAAGGTGCCCCCCAGTGGGCACACGACCTCGGAGTCCACTGGTCCTATCATGTACAGTGCTGCCCTGACGCTGCTGGCCCAGCCTTTGGAAGATGCCATGGGGGGCATCAGTGTGGAGGTGATGCCCAGTACAGAAAGGGCACACGCTGAAGACAATGACCATCGGGTGCTGCTGTGTGTCCAGTACAGGCTTGGAAACCAAGGGCTTGCAGTAGGGATGGCTTTCACTGTCCTCTTTCCCAGGGACACACTGCGGGGAGCTCATGTATGCCCCACCTCCTGCAACTTCTGGCCTTATGGGCGGAGAGACCCTGACCCCTAGAGTGGGGGGTTGGCCCTGGGCAACAAGACAAGACTCCCAGTGGGCTGTGAGCGATGGCTGCTGCCCACCAACCTGGGGCCTTTGTGGCCAGAACTGAACAGTCAAGAAAAGGAGCCAGGCTTCTGGATCAATGTCCATCACGAGGAGGAAGTGGGCTGCTGCCGTACAGTGGGCGCCCAGGCGAGACACGGCGCATCTCCTGGCACTCCCCTGCCCACTGTGGCATCAGATGGACAGGTGGGGCTGGAATCCGGCCTGCTGGTTAAGAAACCAGCTGGTTTGCCTGTGTTCCACAGTGGAGCACCCTGGCCCTGGCCAACTCTGAAGGGCCCTGCCAGCGTCTGAGCCCCCGTGGGGGGCGGGGGTGGGGAACATCCGGCCCACGGGCCGTGGAGGGCTCGGGAAACCACTGGGCAACCCCAGGCAGGCCCAGGAATTCGGCAAATCTACAGCTGACTCATCTTTAAGTGATCATTTTGTGTCGCCTGCGAATGACGTTATAAATCCCCAGATGGCCCCCAGCAGACAAAGCCTCCCAGCCCTGCCCTGCAGGACAGCGCAGCAGCCCCGACCTCGGCTTCTGCCTCGGCCAGGCCCGGTCTCCCTCCCTCCCTCCCTCCCCACCAGGTGTTGATGCCGAGAACTGTCCCAGAGTCTACTTCCCACAATGCTACTCTATGAGGACCCACGTCTGGCTGGCTCACTGCTGATTCCCAGACCCTAGCCTGTGTCTGCGCCATCGTGGTGCTCAAGAAGTGTTGGTTGAATGAATGCATAAACTAAGAGTCAAAACACCCAGGTCCGGCCGGCGCCACAGCTCACTAGGCTAATCCTCCGCCTGTGGCGCTGGTACCCCAGGTTCTAGTCCCAGTTGGGGCACTGGATTCTGTCCCAGTTGCTCCTCTTCAAGTCCAGCTCTCTGCTGTGGCCCAGGAGTGCAGTGGAGGATGGCCCAAGTGCTTGGGCCCTGCACCCACATGGGAGACCAGGAGGAAGCGCCTGGCTCCTGGCTTCGGATCGGCCCAGTGCGCTGACTGTAGCAGCCATTTGGGGAGTGAACCACTTCTCTCTCTCTCTCTTACTAACTCTGCTTGTCCAAAAAAAAAAAAAAAGAAAGAAAGAGAAAGAAAAAAAGAAAACCCAGGTCCCACAACGGAGTGCCCAGATTTGAGTCCCTGGCTCCTAGTCCAGATTCCAGCTTATGAGTACCCACCCCCCCGGGGGGGGGGCAGCAAGTGATGGCTCAAAATAGCTGGGTTCCTGCCCCCCACATGGGAGACCCAGATAGAGTTTCTGACTCCTGGCTTTGGCCATAGTCCCATCCTGGCCGCTGTAGGCACTCAGGGTGTGAATGGAGGCTTCTGTCTCTCTCTCTCCCTCTTAGAGAGACAGACTACAGGAGGTCTACCTGGCCCTCTCATACAATCTCCCTGAGTTATCTCAGTGGGCTCCTGCCTCCTACCACTGCCACATGAATACTTTCAAAGGACCACTCCTGCTCAAGAGCTCTCTGTAGCTCCCCATCACCTTCCAGGTCTTTAGCAGGCTTATGCTGGTGGACCTGTGCAACCCCAGCTTTCAATCCTCACAGATCTTACCCCTGCAAGCTGATCAGACGGGGCTTCTAGCCTTGCTCAGCCTGGGTGACAGCTTCCTCCCTTCCCATCCCGGGAAGTTCCCACACTGTTCCCCAACCCCCTTCCATGTCCACCACAATCTTTGCACCCTGAATAGCAAGGTAGGACACCACAGCAGGCAGAGCTGAGGCTCTGGGGCTCGTGGCTCAGCTCTGCCCCCTGCTGGAGGGAGGGCGTCGGCGTCAGCCTCCCTGGGCCTCCATGTCTGTGTCTGTAAGCGGGGGTTTTACTGCAGAGTTGAGCTCCTGCAGGTAGTGTGGAGGTCGCGGGGAGGCTGTTGGGAACGGTGCTGCCCAGCAGGAGGCACGAGATAGGCGGCTACTTCCAAAAGCTCATGGGAAAGGCCATCAAAGATAAGCTGACTTTGCTGCAGAAATTTTCTGGAATCCGTGCATAAGTTTCTCACGGTATGTACTTTCTTTGGACTTTTTTGAAGACCCTCATTAGATACCATTGTACTTGCTGGTGGGGTCCATCACACTTTTTCTACAGTGGGTCCCGTGGTACCCACTTGGGGTTTGCAGGCTGTATAGTGTATGCTAGACTGCTCAGTTCTGTCACTGAGCAGGAACTCAGCCGTAGCTGACATGTCACTGATGGGGATGTGCCAATAAAACTTTATTCACAGCACTGATCAGAAGGTCGGGTTTGCCCCGCCCTTCCAGAGCTGGCCGACCCCTGCCTTAGGGCCCCTGCATACCCAGGAGAAACTGGCTTCATCAACCAAGTCCAAATACTCTCAGTACCTCGAACAACAATAGCAACAACCAAGCAACACTCAGCTCACAGGTCAGGGGGCAGCCTTCGGGTTGGTTAGGAGCACACACATGCTGGGGGCGCCCTGCGCCCATGATGCTGGCATCCCACTTGGGAGTGCCTGTTTGAGTCCTGGCTGCCCTGCCTCAGACCCAGCTCCCTGCTAATGCTCCTGGGAAAGCAATAGATGAGGGCCCAAGTGCTTGGGCCCCTGCCGCTTCCATGGGAGAGCTGTTTGGAGTTTTAGGTTCCCAGCTTCAGTATGGCCCTGAGTTGGCTGTTGTGGCCATTTGGGGAGTGAATTAGCAGATGGAAGATCTCTCTGTCTCTTTCTCTCTCTGCCTTTCAAAAAAAATTTTTTTTAAGAGCATGGATGCTGTTGGCCGACAGAGCAGGGCCTAAGGGCCACTTCCACACTGATTTCACCTGCTGAGTCTCGGGTTCCTCACCTGGACCAGGGAGGCTGTGGTGACACAACAGGACCCCCTCCTGCTTGTTGCCACGTGTCAAAGTGATGCCGGCTCTCCTACTGTTGATTCCGTCACTTCTGTCACCTTCCAGCCACTGGACTGTTTTTGCTGTTGTGCCTTGGTGCACTACGGCTAACAGGGCTATCCTCTTGCTACAACACACTCCTTGATAGCAGAAGGCTGGGGTAGCCATCCTTGCGCCCCCCGGAGGCCACAGACCTCACAGTCAGCCCTCAGGGTCCCCTGTAGACACTAAAACCTGCAGATTGTCAAATCCCTCCTCTGAAATGGTGCGGTGTTTGCACACATCTCCTGTAAACTTTAAGTCATCTCCAGATGCCCTACGATACTTAGCACAACGTAGATGCTATGTGCATGGCTCTTGGTACTGTTGAGTGACTAACAACAAGGGATAAAGTCCACACGTGTTCAGTACACACAAATGCTTTTCCAAAGACTTTTGATCTGCGGTTGGTTGAATCCGTGGGGCCAGAACCCACGGATATGGAAGGGCTGCCCAGCTGGAGCTCCAGAGCTGGGTGTTTACTTACGACTGGGGGACCCCTCCGATTCCGAAGCCCACCAGTCCCCGGAGCACCAGGATCCAGCTATACACAGGGGCAAAAGCGCTGAGGATGCCGTAGTACAGGGTCCAGAGCACGCTGATCTTCAGCCCCTGTGGAGAAGCGACACACCGAGTCACAAGGGCCTCTCCGCACCTGCAGGCAGCGCGGCCTCTGCACCTGCTGCAAGCCACCAGTAGGTCAGACTAAAGCTATCCCACCTGGCCAGCAGGAGGTCGGGGTCCTGTGGCTGCTGCTGACCCCTAGCAGGTTGGCGAAGAAACTGTGGGCCACTTTGGGTGGTCCCAATGATATGCATGAGACATGACAGACTCATCCTGTGTCACTCACCATCTCAATTGTCCTGGCCAGTGATGGTGCCCCAGAAAGCTCAGTTTCTGATTGGTTGCCTGCACCTGAAGCCCTGTTCTATGAGAGCACTGGGGAGGGGGGCACAGCCAGATCTGCCAGGGTGAACCAAAGGAAGACGAACCCTGCTGGACCCGAACTTTATAAAGTCGTTCATGCAGGAAAGTTTGTCGGCAATGGCTACGCTGCCTGGGGCATGCGAGTCCCTGATGGACCGCGTCGACTTCTGTCTGCATTCACAGTCTGTCTGTAAAGAGATCTGATTTCAAAAGGTCAAATACAGGGGCAGGCGTTGTGGCACAGCAGGTTAAACTGACATTTAGGGTGCCTGCAGCCCATATCAGGGTGCCTGGGATGGAGTCCCGCCCTGCCTCCTGCCTTCCAATCCAGATTCCAGTTAATGCACCTGCAAAGGTAGCACATGATGGCCCAAGTGTTGGGGTCCTGCCACCCACACGTGGGAGACCTGCATGGAGCTCCTGGCCCCAGGCTTTGGCTTGGCCCAGCCGTGTTGGTTGTGGACGTTTGGGGCATGAACTAGCAGAAGGCAGATAGATCCCTCTCCCTCTCCCTCTCCCTCTCCCTCTCCCTCTCCCTCTCACTCTAATTGAAATTGAACCTCAATTATAACGAGAATAAGACCCAGATCCACAATATGAATACCCAATCTCAAACCCAATCAGAGGTAGATGCGGAGGAGGATCAGAGGCCGAACCTGAGTCTGAGCCTGGCCCTGGCCTGGCTCTTGCCCTAGAATTTTGATTGTGAGCGTGAGCCAGAGACAGGTACAGCTCCTGCTCCATCTCTACCTCTCTCTCTCTCTCTCTCACTTTGGGCAATATCGATCACAATATTCGTAATTATTTTAGGCAATGGGAAGCAAAAACACAAACCCTCAGCCTTACTTCTATTTTTTACCTTCAGGTTTCTCGTCTGGGAGTGTCGAGTCTCTGTACAGGATAAGTATAACAGATATAGGATCTGAGGAAAACTGAATACATTAGACCAAGAATTAAAGGAATG